GGCTCTCCATGGAGTTAAAAGGTTAGGGCCAAAACATGACAGCCTGGACCCAGCGCACTGACCTGAACTCTAAAAACCATCATCTATAGCTGCAGCATCATTGCCTGGCCAAAGGAGTGGAGGTGGAGTTCAGTGTGGGCAGAGACTAGGTCTTCAGTCTTATAATCACTTCGCTGCCCAGAGATTTGTTAAGTGTTTCCTCTGTGACAGCATCTAGGACATATGCCCAAAGGAGGTGGTGAGTGTAGGTGAGGGCACAAGAAGGTGCTAGTCCTTCATGCTGTGGGTGGCATGTGACGCAGGCATGGAGGCATTGGCTCAGGAAATGTAGGGTGGAGGGGGAATGGTTGGGAATGACACCCATGAAGACATTGGGACCCATGGAACAAAGGACTGTGTGCTTCATGCTGGGGAATCTGGGCTTTTCTCCTGTAAACTGTCCTCTATTGCAACACCTCCAGAGTGGGTCCAGGACAGTGGTGCGAGTGCACAGGAGAAAAGGAATGCCCTCGTTCCTTCTACCAAGTGGCCATGTTTTGTTTTTACCATTGTTTGCTTAGAAATTTATAGGGCAGAGGTGTGGAGAGCAAATGCTAAAAGGATATGGGAGTGTTCTGACTTCATGTAATTTGCTCTTTGGATGAAGCAATGTATATTAACAAAATACAAAAGAAACAAACTATACTCTTGAAAGAAATTTTATAAAAATACTTTCACATATATAATATATAGGTAGTATATATAGTATATATGTAAGTATATATTTTATATATATTATATATTTTATGATTTTATAAAAATATTTTTATAAAGTATTTTATTAGTTTTATTTTTTATACTTTTTATAAAATGCTTTGTATAGTTTCATTTTTATTTTTTTAACTTTTGCTTTTTTACTTTTTTACTTTTATTTTTATACTTTTTTATAAAGTAAAGTATTTTATAAAAAGTACTTTCACATATATAGGTGGTATATATATAGTGTGTATATAATATACATTAAGTATATATAATATACACTATATATATATGTAAGCCCTTTGTAAAACCATGTTTTGGTTTTGAAAAATAGAGAATACTTTTTTTAATAAATAATTTTTAACACAAGTATTCCATGTTTATTATAAGAAAATGAAAAAATATAGTTTAGTGAAAATGAAAAGTCTAAAATTCCCCATCTCCGTTCCCTCAGAGACAACAGTTCACATTTTGCTGTATCTCCCTCTGAATTTCTTTCTCCGCAGATATTTATTTATCTTTGCAAAAAACAATGGTATCATAATAATATTTTGAAACTTTAAAATGTAATCTACTTTGAACATTTTATCATATCAATAAATATATTTCAACAGTGTAATTTTTAGTCTCTAAATATCACGGGAACATTCCTAAATGCATTACAAAACTAGTTGTCTTTCGCTGGACATTTAGGGTGTTTCCAAGGTTTTGCTATTATAAACAACACTACAAAGAACGTCCTTGACAATAAATAATTGCGCACATCCTCTATTATTTCCTTAGGATAAATTTCTAGAAATGGAATGTTTAAGTCAGGGAATCTGCACATATTTAAAGACGTTTGATTGTATTGTTGTGTTGTATTGCTGTATCATATTGTTGTGTTGTTCATCAGAAAGGTTGTAGTGATTTATACTCATACTGGCAGAACTCCAGAACTCCAGAGCAACCTTTTACCAACTCAAAGCGAGACTTGCAGAGATAAGAACAATACAGGTTGAGGACTTGATCTGTGGGGTCTTGCACCTGATTCCCTTAAAGGAAAACTGAGTGGGCCATGGTAACCCTTGGCTTGATGAATGAAACCAATTAAGGGGCACACCAAGGGATAATAGAGAGATTAAACTTCTCCTTTCACCAGTTTAACATGAACCTAGTAGCTTTCAGACAATATGTGTATGTATCATTTTGAGAATATCCGGTTCCACCATTAAGAGAAAAAAATCTATTCCCAGAATGAACTTATTTCTAGGAAATACAGTTGTTACATTAAAAAAAAAAATAGTCCTCCCATTTTGTTAAAAGCAAAGCAAAAAAAACAAAACAAACAAACAAAAAAAACCAAAAAGGTGGGTTTGACTAGGATCAGAGGATGGAACTTATAGGGAATGACATGGGTAGGATGGGGGGGTCTTCTCTCTGTGAGGGCTGAGCAAACCATCCTCTCCACAGAACCAAAGAGAAAGAGAACTTGCCCTAAGACCTCAGTATGATCCACTTTTGTAGAAAGAGGAATTCTGACATGTCATGAAACATTTTATCTCTGAAAACCAAATTCTCACCCCATGACAAAGAGTCATCTGAACTTCAATGAACTGGATGACATTAACCTTCCATATCTACATTCAGTTTTCACAGACTAACAACATGTTTCCAAGTGTTTGAATGACAAAGAAATATGTACACTTCTCTGTCATTGCTGCCGTTGGAGTTTTTGTTGATATTCTCTCTGTAGCAAAACAGAGTTCCTTTAGTCTTCAGGTTCTGCGCACTGATGATTTGTTGTTGTTGTTGTTGTTGTTGTTGTTGTTGTTTTGAGACAGACTCTTGCTTTGTCGCCCAGGCTGGAGTGCAGTGGCCTGATCTCAGCTCACTGCAAGCTCCGCCTCCCAGGTTCTCGCCATTCTCCTGCCTCAGCCTCCTGAGTAGCTGGGACTACAAGTGCCTGCCATCACGCCCGGCTAATTTTTTTGTATTTTTAGTAGAGATGGGGTTTCACCGTATTAGCCAGGATGGTCTTGATCTCCTGACCTAGTGATCCAACTGCCTCGACCTCCCAAAGTACTAGGATTACAGGCGTGAGCCACCGTGCCCAGCCTGCACACTGATTTTTCATTTAAACACTGATTGGAAAATGTGGGTGTTTAAATGTTGGTAGACATCCAATGCTAGCTGGTCAAGTTGAAGATGCATGTGCCCTATAACTCAGAATCCCGTATCTAGGTACTCAGCCGAGGCCAGCGTGTCCCCAAGTTTCATGTGAAAACGTAGATTCTGGTTCAGCAGGTCTGGGCGGGGCCTGAGCGTTAGCATTTCTAATTACCTCCCAGGTGATGCTAATGCTGCCCGGTTGGAGGACCACACTTGGAGTAGTGAGGTCCAGGGAAGATGATCTGAACCTTGGCTGCTCATTGGAGTCACCTGGGGGAGCTCTTATCAACTGTGACGCCCAACTGCCCTCCAGCCTAATGGAAACAGAGTCTCCCTGGGGAGACCAGGCGTCACTAGTTTTTCAGTCTCCCCAGGTAATTCTAACAAGGACCCCAGGCCGTGGGCCAATGTGGACTCATTCACACGTATGCGGGGAGATGGACAGGGGACATTCACTAAATAAATTGGGACTATTCATATGGGGGAGGCCTAAGAGCTGCTTAATGATCGAGTATATCTTTGTGTATTAACTTGGCTACATCTTGAAATTATAACATTGAGTGACAATAGCAAATCAGATACCGTTTATGTTAACTTTAAAAACACAAAATATGTGTAGTTTAAATGGTAAAAATATTAAAATATGTATAGGAGTGATACATGTACTAACTTCAGGATAGTGGTTACTTCTAACCACTAGCTCCTAACTTCAGGATAGGTGTTTGCAGCAGGAGAATGGAGTGGGAAGGGTAGATTCTACTGGACCTGCAATAATTTCTTTCATCTTTGTAGCTGAAGGAAAGAAAGGCAGGGAGAAGGGAGGGAAGGAAGAGGAAAGGAGGGAGAGGAAGAGAACTCTGGATGTATGACTGGCTGGCTGTTTCTCACTATTACTGTGGCTTACCTCTGTAAACCTAAAAATGTATTTCAGCAGCATACTACATGCTCCATTCTTGAGTAGCCTAAAATATTAGTGGGACCAGACAAACAAGGATCTGAAAGTATTAGCTCAAATGTGACTCCCACACCTGACTTTCATTCAAGAGGATTGGAACATCCTGGCATGCCTGACCCCCAAGGACTTGTCCAGGGAACTGAGATCAGTGCCCTTTGTTTTCAGGTGGGACAGACACGGAAAGGAGAAATAGCTGCCCACAGCAAGGTCCAGAAAGTGGAGAAATGGTGGGATTAGAACTCAGGGCTCCAGCTCTCTGCGCAGGTGTCTTTCAAGGCTTGGGGCCCAAGGGAGCAGCCGCCCCGTTTACCACACTCTGAAGATCCTACCACTGAGGGTATTTACCACGGGACATCCTGGCTGGCATTTCTGTTGGAGATCACCTGCTCCTTCTCCCCGGGGCCCTGCCCTCCCTGTCCCATAGGTGGCAGTGGAGTGTGACGACGTGGCCTGCATCCTGTGGGGTATTTGTGCTTGCCATGGCCAGCTGTGGAATGCAAAAACCACTCGCCAACCCCACTCCTGCAGGTGCTGGTTAATTGCAAAACCAAACAGCCTGCAGGAAAAGTCTGGAACAGACAGCTCTCTGAGACGAATGCTGGCTCATAGGAGGGGCTAAAGTCTTGGTGTATCTATATTTCATTTCCGATTCTGTGGTCAGTGTTTTTCAGTATTTTGCATAAATACTGTTATTATTATTTTTGTTATTGTTATGATCTGTAATTAGCACCTTCCTGATATGTGTTGCTTACTCTTATTTCCATATAAATATACCAGTAGTTTTCTAAGGAAAGGAAGTTTCCTCTTATTCTTACTCATTTTCAAATGAATAAATAGCATTGGACATAAATGAGAAAAAAAGAATTTTTAAAATCTCATGCCTACAGGAAACTTTAGATTGTCTGAGCAAAAAAGAGGGCATGTGATGTGAATAATCCCAAGATTCCAGAACAATTCACTTTAAAAACAATGATCTATGGATGTGAGGCAGCTTTTGTCTCTCCCCCAAGATGTTCTCCTGGGTAGCCAGGGAGGTTGGTTGGAGGCTGTGCTTGTGGAAGGCAGCTGGTCAGAAATCCCATGTGGATGGGGATCTGCCCCAAGACACAGATACCTGGCTTCAGGAATTGACTGAATTTGTTCCCACCCCTTTCAGATCCTACGCTATGGAGTACAGACCATGTGCGGCAGTGGCTGGAGTGGGCGGTGAAAGAATATGGCCTTCCAGACGTCAACATCTTGTTATTCCAGAACATCGACGGGAAGGAACTGTGCAAGATGACCAAGGACGACTTCCAGAGGCTCACCCCCAGCTACAACGCCGACATCCTTCTCTCACATCTCCACTACCTCAGAGAGAGTAAGCTGCCCCCTTCCTCCAAGGATAGATGGCTGTGGCTATGGTTCTTATGACCTGAGCTTCAGAGGGTTCAAACAGGTGTGTCGACAGCATCCTCCTGCCCTCGTCCAGTTCCCGTTGGGGATCTGAGGGAACCACACGCTTGGTATGCGATGACTTAGGGAAACAACACCCTGGCCACGTTGCCTGGTGAAAAGTAGTCAGCTCTCTCAGGAGAAGCCAAAATTCACTTCCACACTCAGCTGCCTCCTCCAGGGTCCTGCGACCAAGAAGATAGAATGTCAAAGGGAAAGGAAGCATTAACTGGTCACACATTAGTTGGTCTCCATGATACCCCAAATTGAAATAGAACCATTAAGGAAAGGCTCCTCCTCTTCAGTAGGAATTAGGGGGATTATTCTCCCTAAAGCTACACGAAGCCCCGCTTTATATTCTAACTTGAACCCAGAACGAGGGAAGTTTTCACTTTGTATCATGTGATTGGGCTTAACCTGACAGAAAGGGATGGCATGTTGGCATGAATCCAGAATGTTTGCTGCATGCTTTAATTTCTACAGTGTCCAGCATGATGAGAAGGAAGTAATGTGACAGTGAGGTGGAATAAATTCTCCTCCATTGCTTTGCCTGGCATCCCAACCACTTCTTCCCTGAATTAAAGATGGGCCCCCATGTAGGTTTTAACATGCTAACAAGTAGCAGATTGATGGAAATAGTTATAAGCTGCCCATGATGTTAGGGTGGGAGTGGGGGAATGGTTTTCTTTCTTTCTCTCTTTCTTTTTCTTTTTTCTTTTCTTTCTTTTTTTTTTTTTGTAAGAAAGGTAATTCTCTCTTTTTTTTTTTTCATTTTGATGTCACTTTTTGTTTTGTTTTGTAGCTCCTCTTCCACATTTGACTTCAGATGATGTTGATAAAGCCTTACAAAACTCTCCACGGTTAATGCATGCTAGAAACACAGGTAATGCTGGCCCCGCCCCTGCCTCCCAGCAAGAGCATAGGGTCTTACGTACAGGTTGCATGCTTCCATGGGAAACCGGTCAGCGCGTGTCAGGAAGACAGAATACAGGTAGATGATTCAGGATGCTTTCCAATACTTAGGAGGTACCACAGCCTAAAGGAAGGTGACGCCCTTTGGTTTTCTGAGCGCTTCCCACGCACCCCAGTTTGATTATCAAAGGGTTCCTTTTTTTTTACCAGGAGATGTGCAGAATTTGCCTTTAGCCATAACTTTAGCTCACATTTGCCAGATTACAATCTTCTTCTGTTAGTACCAATATATTCGCTGTGCTGACTCTGTAGACACTAAAAGCATGTTCGATATAAAAGGGCCCTTAGCAGCCTCCTTTAATTTTTTCCATTTTTATTCTTAAAGAAATATTTGCTAGGATAAGTTGGAATTTTCTTTTTCCTTTCCAATAAACTTTTAGGCTACTTCATTTGTTTTCCTACAGACTGTGCGTTTGCAAAAGGCAGGAGGGAATTTCTGTAACATTGTGAGAGTTTTGTTCAGAGGGAACCTCTGCTATGATTTTGGAGAATATGAAATTAGTCACTAACCAAATGCCTGTTTTCTATCTCTAACCATTGACTGTACATTTGACTTATTTATGTATTTATTTTGCCTGAGCCTAAGTAGGGTTTAACACCATGCCTCATCCTGGCTAACCTTCCTCCCTCGCCTCCCAGTCACAGCAGAGGCTGGGTTTTCTGTGGATGAATGTGTTCCTGGTTCACATCCATCTGCTCCTTTCTGATGGAGACAGTTCCAGAAGCATGGCCACCGGCTGCTCACCCCACTCTGTTAGCTGCAGGGACCCTCTGCAATCACCCGGGCTAGTGATGGAGACAGGAAGTGCCAGGAAGCCGTGATGATGGAGACAGGAAGTGCCAGGAAGCCGTGATGATGGAGACAGGAAGTGCCAGGAAGCCGTGCCAGTCAGCCAGTTAACTCAGGGTCAGCCCTCACATAGAAATACAGCCATTTTCCCAATATTTGCCATTTTATTTTAAAATATCAAATGTGAGTGAGTCCCGGTTTGAGTATTACAGTGAAATTGCTCGTTTATCCTGGTAAATGAGCAATTTCTTATTCAAAACATTGTCTTTTTAATCTGAAGTTTTAAAAAGCCGGCTTCGAGTTGGTACTACACTTTTTCAGTAATTTTGGTTGCACACATCAGCCTATTCATGACCTTGTGGCCAGAAATAACAGATAACTTAGAGGAAGTTACTTCCCCTTCTTAGGAAACACCTTTGAGCTATGCGCATTTTCTGATATTTTCACGTTTATTTAGGAATTCTTTAACCATAGAGTGAAAGTTTTAAAAAAAGCTCCAAATTTATTAATTTTGCTATTGTTAAACACAGAAGCAACCAGTGAACAGGACAACAAATTCCAAATGGACTGAACTCTGAAAAGGGAATTTTCTCAGCTAACCACATGAGTTTTGTCAAAAGAGAGAAAGGGAAAACGCATTTGACTAGAGATGTGGATTAATCATTAATAAAATCCGTATACTCTTTGGCTAAATACTTATAATTGCTTGGTCCTACTTCCCAAGAGCTATGTAAAATATATTATGGGTTTTTATACAATATATACAAATATATTATGGGTTTTTATTGAAAAATAAAACATGCACCATATAGTTTTTTAATCAAATGAGATTGCCCAGTGGGAAGTGGGATTGAGGGAGACACAGATAGGGCTTCATCAAGAAGCTATAAAATCAAAACACACAACGCTTTATAGCAAATGGGGCACAGGAGTGTACCAAGGCTCCTTGAGAATCTGACACGTGCACCTGTCCATTTCTCCGGAGCTCTGTTAAGGCAGGTTTGAGGAGGTCTCTTCCCTTTGTTATCACAGGGAAAAGTAGATTTGGCGCTGATGTTGAGATCGACAACCACAACAAAAGACCTTCACATGTTTGTCTTTCCTTTTGTCTGCAGGGGGTGCAGCTTTTATTTTCCCAAATACTTCAGTATATCCTGAAGCTACGCAAAGAATTACAACTAGGCCAGGTACGAAAACACCCCTGTGTGATCTCTTCATTGAGAGACATCCCAGATGTCCTGCTGAGATCCATGCCCTAAGTCACGCGATACAAAGAGAGCTGATCCCGGAGCTGAAGCCAGTCCCAGACAGTCTTATTCTGCCTCTGTTTATCTGGAGACTAAACCCACTCAAACCATTTCATTCGAAGACCACACTAAAGGAATTAAGAGCAGATTAGCCCTTTAACTAGCTCTTCAGAAAGACAGATGGGCAAAGAAGGCATCCTGGATGCCTGGCAGTTAGGAATAGGCCCACTTTTGAACTAACGGAAGGATCCATCCCTCCTCGGGGGAAGAGCACAAAACAAGGACATTCCTCAGATTCACAGTGACCGATTCTCAGTATGTCACAAGAAGCCAGTCTTGCAGAGCAGCAGCATGCAATCAGCAGTAGTATTTACATCTGAATCTTACTGCCTGTCTTCCAGATGATTTGATTAGGTAATTAATTTACATGCCATTCATGCAAAAATAAACATCTATCAAGTGCCCATTAGTGCCAAGCGTGATGTTAGACTCTGGGAATATAAAGACGAACCAGGCTTCAGTAAGCTTCCTGTCTTCAGAACGTTCACTTCTTCATTCAGCTTGGCTTGTTCATTTGCTGAGTGCCTCCTCTGGGCCAGCCACGGATGGTATGACGGTGAACAAGCTGAAATGTTTTGCCTCCAGTTCTAGATGTTTCCGTAGAGTGACCTAGAGCCAGAGAGACAGATACGTACACATAAATGTTTCCCCTAATGTGATAGGTTCTACGGTAGAGGCACCACTTCTAGCAATACAGGCTGTAGGAGCAGGATCGGGGAGGAACTCAACGCCCCAAGAAAGGCGTAAAGATGCTTTCCAGAGGAATGGCCACATGGCAAAGGGCAATTAGATGTTTACCAGGTGAATAATGAGCAGGGGGAGAGGGCATTTCACAGAAGGGTATAGCTTGCCCTAAGCATTTGCCCCCTCCCTGGGACTTAGAGCAGCCCCATACGCTAGATATCATTGTACCAGCCTCACAGTTGATGACATCGTGTTCGGGGTGGTGGGATGGTTTATCTGTCTTCCTATATGCTTCCAGAATTCATATGAAACTCAGGCGATTTCTCTTTCACCTCTATCACATAACCGAAATACACAAGTCTCAGTCTGAACTGGTTCAAGATCTAGGCTTGGCAACTACTCTTCTTTTCTAATGAGAAAGACTGGGGGCCCAGGGAGCTAAAGAGAATGAATGAGGAAGCTTCTCAGGCTGTTCAAATCCTGACACTGCCCTGGTTACTGCCTAGTGACTTCAGGCTGGCAATTTTCTCTTCTCTAATGTCAGAGGAAAAGTTTGCTGTCTCGCTCCTGGGAAGCATGATAGAAAGGCTTAGCTGAGAGGTACTAAGAGGTAGTAAGTCACCTCTGTCATGTAACAGGCCATGTTTCACAGGCCATCGAAACATGGGCAGGCCCCAGTGCCTAGAATCTACCAGACTGGTCCTAAAGAAATCCACCCCGTGTATTGCAAGTGGAAAATAGAAATTCACGGTTGACTCACGCTCTACAGATTTTGTAATTCTGTGAGCATTTAAAAAATATTTCCATATATATGTAAAAAAATAAAAACTATTTCCAAAACATTTGGCTGGGGTTTTAAAATTTTTTTTACTTTTTAATTTTGTTTTTGTTTGTTTATGTTAAGACATCTCATAGGTGCCTCTGACTGAGTTGCAAAGCCAGGGGTTGTGAGCTAGTGTAACAAACTGTGTTAAAAGATCACAACACTGGCCAAATCCATGGGCACAACCTGTCCATCAGACAAGCCAGCTGACTGATGCTACCTGGTTAAGACAGTGGGTCCTGGAGCTGCTTTGTTTTCACATTTTAGGACATGGTGGATTTGGAAGGTATGACCCATCCAGGTGGATGGAGAAGAGGGTGGCTGTGAGGATGTTGGTTGGGACTCCCTCTCTGCCTAGCCCAGGGAAGGCAAGGGTGGCAAACTTAGACACCTCCCATGCCGCTCTGATGGTGCTCTTCCATGGGCCCATGATTTGAGCGTGATCTGGGAGACAGCACACCTCCACAGCTCCACTACTAGTCAAGTATGTTTTCGAAACTCAGTTTGTACCTGAAATAACCTGTTTTGACCACTGCCTACTGTGATTATGAGAACCAATACAAATATTGGTATCTGACCTGTAAAGAATTTAAAGCAGACTGAACAAGCCAGAGGACTGTTTACTGTAGGCTCTATTCAGGGGCTTGACCTTGGATATAAGAACTAGTTATACACCTTGGGTCATCCGTTGCTAAGCGATCAACCTTAAAGGACTGGTCCTGTGGAGATAAAAGCTGTGAACCTGCAACTGGAGAATGAACGTTGTGATGGCTGAGGGGGAAGAGCTTTTGCCTCACTAACTTTCAGAGCTGCGCGAGTCCCAGAGGGAGGTCACTGGGAATCTGACGATATCCCTGTGGTCAGTGGGTACCTGACTACTTTCGGAAAGGTGATTGTTGACTGTTTCTTTCAAGGTCCTTAGGGATACAGACCCCAAATCCCTGTCTCCTCCACTCTTTGTTTGCTGTGCTGTGATCTTCATTTCCACACCCTTTGTCTAATCCCACATCCCAGGGAACCGAATGCTGGTCAGCGTTATTGTGCTGACCATGAAGCAAGCCAGGCTCCTAGGTAGCAACTCTACTTAGACCAGAATCTGTCTCTTCTCTGCACGGTGGCCATTTCATTATAGAGTCCCTGATAGAGGAGACAGTGGTGTTCAGGGTTTACTGGTTAAATTAGATGGCATTCCACACCCTTTCTGCAGAGACTCCTCCACGTGTGTGTTGTCCTGCTGCATCCTCCTTCCCAGCTCTTCCTCACCACCCTTCCCTCCTTCCCTTCCCGCTGTGAGTCACCCATCCCTGGGTTACTGCCCCAATCTCCCTTCCCTTCCCTTCTTCTTTTTTTCTTTTCTTTTCTTTTTTTTTTTTTTTTTTTTGACGGAGTCTCACTCTGTCACCAGGCTGTAGTGCAGTGGCGCAATCTCGGCTCACCGCAGCCTCTGCCTCCTGGGTTCAAGCAGTTCTTCTGCCTCATCCTCCCAAGTAGCTGAGACTACAGGCACATGCCACCAGACCCAGCTAATTTTTGTATTTTTAGTAGAGACAGGGTTTCACCGTGTTGGCCAGGATGGTCTTGATCTCTTGACCTCGTGATCCAACCGCCTCTGCCTCCCAAAGTGCTGGGATTACAGACGTGAGCCACCATACCCGGCCCCAAATCTACCTTTTATTCTATTCATGGCCCACCTTCCCAAATGAATCATTTATTCCAAAGCCCCCTGACTGCTTCCCTGTCAGGTCAGTCTCACCGCTGCTGTGTCAGGTCAGTCTCCCTGCACAATTGGCCAAGGCTGTTCACTGACCTCACAGGGGACCACATGTGGACATGCCCTGCCACCACCACCACCCGCCATTTGTCCAAACCTCATCCCTTTTCCTTGCATGCCCGTACCTAGTGTTTTCCCACATTTTCCTGATTCAAGATTTACTGTCTTTCACGACCCCTTTGTTAAATTAACATTGAGACAGTCTTCTCTACTCTCATAAGTATCAACCCATAGGCATATCATGTTACACTCTGTTGTTTATTATGATTATTATTTTATGATGTTTCACGTGTTTCTTACATTGTTGCAGTTACTGTGACCAGAATCCCTTTCTGTACCTCCTCTGCAAACACCCTTCTATTTTGCTGAATCCACTTCTTTTGGAGCCATAGCCCTTTGAGGTCTCAGGGGAAAAAAGTGGCAAAAACAGATCCACAGAATCTTGCAAGCACCTGTTAACTACACAGTGCGCCACCCTGCCTGTCCTCTCAGGAGCAGGTCATGCAAAAGCTCAGTTCTACCCCAAGGATGATGTTCTGCAACCCCATCCTTTCCTCTTCCGTCCCCATGACAACCCATATATTATGATATGCCTCTAGGGTGTTATCAAAAGAGATTAGAGAGTTAAGCCTGCAAATGCAGCCTTCGCTTCCACTTTGAAGCTGCTGCTCTTCAGGGCTTTCTTGGAATCTTAAATCATTCTTGCATTGGAGCTCACAGCCTGGTGCTTTTTAGCACAGCTAGGCATAGTGAGACAATGCAACTACTGCATAGCACCTCTCAGTTAGGTGTTATGTAAAGCCTGTATCTTAGCAAATGGCTAACACTGCATTCTTTGCTTCCCCTTAGTTCTTATATAACCACAGGGATCTGCAAACCTAGGCAAGAAGGGAATGCAAAATGTTTCCAAATCTCCATGCCTTTGATATAGAATTTTAAGAAGATCTGGAGGAAAATAGAGGGCGACTTAATTATGTTAAGGTTGACTCAAACTTTTTTTTTTTTTTTTTTTTCATTTCACAGACATTTATAGATTGGTTCTCAGCAGCAGCTCTTGGTCTTCGTAATTTGTGTTCCCCATTAGCATCTAATTTCAAGAGCAGACAAATCTCATCTTTTTCCAGCCCAGCCAGGGAGCCTCCAGAGTTGCTTTGCAGATATGGTGTGGATCCTGCAGAATGAGGATGAGCTCTTCCATGATCCACATTCTTGCCCTTTAAAAAATAAAGCGGGTAGGCGGGGGGCGGCAAGAGCTAGAGGTTTCTCTCAGTGAGTTTGATGAAGGGAGAATGTAAAACTTGGCTGAACTTAGCCCTCCAGGAAAGCGTAGCCAGAACGTTGTATTAATTGATTGATGTCTTCAAAAGGGTGTGGTGGAGGAGGAGTCTCATTCAGAATGAGAAGCTGATCCCAGCTTCCAGGAAATCAACACAGTTGCTCGTGTATAGGGGTCAGCACTAGCCGAACTCCCTATTTGTAGCTTCATGCCGTTTTTTATACTGTTGTAATGTAATGTACATCTGTGTTCACCCAAGCTGCCTATGCAATGACTTTTATAAAGCTCAGTTTTCAAACACAGTCTCTTACAGATAAAACAGCAGAACCAGTGCCAGAAAGCAACCTTCCCTTACATGGGCACTTCTGCCAAGCGTATGAGTTCATGACCTTGAAGATCAAAGTTAAAGAGAAATGGAGAGGGTGTTGAAATGATCAGCAAAAATTAAATGTAAAAATGTATTATTGGAAGTCCAATGCTCTATTATCAATAAAGGACACTTAGCAGAGATACATGGAGGAGTGATTTTTCAAGCAGTCAAGAGCAGAACTACTAAGGCTTTGAGACGGTGTAGCTGCCACAGCAGTCACCCCTGGCTGTCCCTTATCTCAGGGAGCCTGAGTTGAATGTTTCCCAATGTCGTATCCCACGGGGTACTCAGGGCCCACAGCATATAATCGGTAGCTGATAAGGAAGCATTGAACCAGAATGTCATGGGAGAAAACAAAAGCCCGCATATCTTCCATGGCAATATGTTTATGAACACGTTAATCATTGTTCATATAAGTGTCTCAAATACTTGGCTGAAAAGTAAACTCTGTTTGGTGTTAAGTTTTGACTTATTTTCAAGGGAGGATGGGATATGGTTATACACCCTAAGAAGGATTTTGTGAATAAAGAGTTTCAAAATATTTTGGGAGTAGTAGTTAGGCATTTATTTTTTTTCCCAGTCTCATTTCATGAGCAATAATTTTCTGTTTAAGGTAGTATCTGACTAACCTACTGATGTCTTCTATCAGTTCCATTAGCATACTTATTCCATGGGTAAAAGCAATCCATCTAGAACTCTTTCAACCATTTTTTAGTTTGTCTTTGCACACTCTAGATAGCATTACTGAAACCATCTGCAGGAAAACAGAGTTCCTGAAAAGAGCAATGGTCTAGAGCAGGCTTTCTCAGACTTCAGTGTGCACCAGAGTCACCCAGAAATGCTGATTCTGAGGCCAGGTGCAGTGGCTCACGCCTCTAATCCCAGCACTTTAGGAGGCCGAGGTGGGTGGATCACGAGGTCGGGAGATCGAGACCATCCTGGCTAACATGGTGAGACCCTGTCTCTACTAAAAATACAAAAAGAAATTAGCCCGGCGTGGTGGCGGGTGCCTGTAGTCCCAGCTACTCAAGAGGCTGAGGAATGGTGTGAGCCCGGGAGGCAGAGGCTGCAGTGAGCTGAGATTGCGCCACTGCACTCTGGCCTGGGCGACAGAATGAGACTCCGTCTCAAAAAAAAAAAAAAAAAAAAAAAAATGCTGATTGTGATGCAGTAGGTCTGGGGTAAGATTCTGCATTTCTAACAAGTTCCCAGGTATTATTGATGTTGCTGGTCCACAGACCACCCTTTGAGAAACAGAGATCTAGAACATATTTCTGTATTATCTTTTTTTAATTTGGTAAATAGAAGGCCTTAGTTAATGTGCCTTTCTGCTCCTAAATTAGGCTAGATGTGTCTAGGACTGCCTCACAAGTAGATTTTTCTTTCTGAGACAATTTGCAAATTGAAACTCTGGCTATCCTTTTTTTTTTTTTTTTTTTTTTTTGACAAAATGCAACTGACTGAGAACCCATGTGCCGAGTGTTCTCAGAGACTTAAGTTGAAATTCAGTAGTAAATTGTTAGGGGCTGCAGATTTAATTCCTATGTGTAACCCCAACACCAGAAATGTGAAAATCTGAGGAGCTGGGTGGGGAAAGATTTAGGTCCAAAAATGCAAAAATGCCAGCTGAGAGAGAGGAGTGAGTAATAGCAGTTTAAAAAGAAAAATTATCTAATTCTCCAAAGCTCTGAAGGGTAGGATTTCATAGACCACACTAGTAGCAAAGATGCTTGCAGCCAAACAGACCAAATGCATTAAGGAGATTCTGTGTTGAATTTCACGCTGCCTATCATTTCTATTCTCATTGGGATATGAAAATAGGAAGAGACACATCTTCTGCAACACAGTCAAGCTCTTTGAAGACTGACCCATCAAATTGCTGGTTTTAAACAAAATTAAAATATTTGTTTAAAGAGAAGCTTAAAAACAATTGCGTTGTCCTATCCTCCAAGTGAAATTTTGTACCCATCTCCTGGTGTCTGGCAGCAAAGAACCTGCCGAGATATTTGGCCATGGCCTTCACTTGACCCAGAATGACACATGACATTGAACTGAGACCCAGCAATCCAAGAAGACATAATTTTGAAACAGTTATGTAATAAGATTGCATGTAGAAATAGCCTGAGATATGCTCTCTTAGCAAAAGTATGTATAATAAGATTTCTGGAATATATTTGTGAAACAAACCTGAAATGACGTAGAGCTTTGATAATCATTAATAGGACTCACACTGAGGATGCAGAAGTATAGTTACTAAATTTGCATATGAAAAGTAAATGAAGGTTTATGGGACAAGTGATACTACTTTATAAATACAAAGAAATGTTTGGCATGTACTTAAGCTCAGAAGGTCATCATCAATGTGCTGTGGGAGCAATACTATTTCAGTCCTGTAATTCATTTCATGCAGTTCATTTTAGAGAAATTCTAAATTTATTTAGAACATTAGAAATGGGAGACATTTGCCTATGAAAATCACTAGATCAGATAAGACTGATTTAATATAAATTGATGAGGTTATAAAGGGAAAATGCGAGTTGGCTAAGAGAGGCAACTGGCAAATAAAAAGATAAGGCATTTCCTAGGAGATGCAAGAAGAAAAAGAAGCTGAATGTCATTTGATTGTTTTAGGGGCAGACCTCAAACAAAAATGGGCTGGTTCATCCAAATTGTAGACTGTATTTTGAATGAGTCATGAAGATAATAAAGAGACAGATGTAGATCAGTCCCAGTGGAAGCAGGGTGAACTAGATTGTAAGAAACTTTTATTAGGGTCTTGACTTATGATTGTAGGAAATTAGAAGAGTCACCAAGCTCTGGGAGAATCTGTCAATGAGAGTTTTCAGATAAACGGGTGAGAATTTTAGACCGCTATAATATATGAAATTTTGATTTGGAAATTAAACTCAAATCTAGTGGGATAGTCTTTGGATTACCAGATTTTTTTAGCACACAATTTATTCTAATAAATGCAAAATCAAATAAGAAACCAGAACATCTCTTATAAAAATTACACGATTGATCTTTTAGTCAATTTATTTGTCTTTACAGATTTACCGTATGAGCCTCCCAGGAGATCAGCCTGGACCGGTCACGGCCACCCCACGCCCCAGTCGAAAGGTACAGTGTTGGCTCCCATGGCCCTGAGTTTCATGTCACAGGCAGTTGATGACTGTTGATGGAGTATATAGTAATTTCTGTGGCTAATCTGTGATTTTGCAACACGTGGTGGGTTTGTTCCATTGACAACAGAGTACAATTGATCTTTAACTGCAGTGATTCTTTCTCTATTTGGGTCATCACAAATTTCATAACAAAAATAAAGCAATGATGTAGTGTATTTCAACCTTCAGAAATGCATGTTTCATGGGATGTTTGAGTACACATTAAATAATTGGTGATTTCCTGAATCTTGGCCATGCTTAAAAGTATCCCTGGCTTTACTTTATTTGACTAATGGTTTCCCTTTATGTGTTTATCTTAGACTATGATTTATTGTAATCTATTTGGTAAGCCATCCCAAATTCTCTTTTGTTTTAACTTTTGGAAAAACTGGGAGGTATCCATTTTTTAAATAATTGGAAATGTCCTCTTTTTTTGTTACAATGTTTTTACATTTGGTTTCATTAGAAAGGAAAATCTTTCCTTACCATAAGATGCTTCTGATTTAGACTATTATGTTAATAACTAAATTAACTGATAGAATGATTTTACAACAACATCAAAGACTCATGACCAAATCTGTTATAGCTAATTGCCTTTTGTATTTCTGGATTTTCAGCTGCTCAACCATCTCCTTCCACAGTGCCCAAAACTGAAGACCAGCGTCCTCAGTTAGGTATGTTTCAGGGGCCATCTGAATAAGCATTAGAGAAGATTCAGGCTCAGCAACACGTTTCTAAAATGTATCACTTTTTAATGGAAGTTAACATGATTTTTTGCCTCTTTTTGACTGCTCTATACATAAGATAGGGCCCAAGTCACCAGCCTACTCACGCGCGGTGACTTGAGATGGTGCTAAAACACATCCCCAACTATGCAATAAAAAAGAAAAAAACATTCTACTTGCACACAGGCTGCTGCTTTGTGATCCATTATTTTTTTTTAATTTTACTTTCCATGCCCGAACAACACAGCCTGCACAGCCCTGGATTGATGGGGCTTGGCACATGTTTGCCCTCTTTATGTCATTGGTTGGTGTGAGCCCTGAGCTACGTGTCGGGATCCTGGGATGGAATCCAAGCCCTGCCACCAACTAGGAGTCCCCTAGCAAGACATCTGAGATGCTGTGTGACATCTTCTCTCATAGAAGAGGTGGACGCAGTTGATTTGGAGTTGGGGGACATTTTCAGCTCTGAAATCTGAAAACACAATTGAGTCAGGCATTACGTCTGAAGTCACATCATACTATGTCACAACTATGTCTAGGATTTGACTTTGTTTCTTTTTGTTGTAGATCCTTATCAGATTCTTGGACCAACAAGTAGCCGCCTTGCAAATCCAGGTGAGAAACTGCTGATGATTTTCTTCTTACAAAGTTACCTTTTTGGCAGTGGCTATTTTGAAAAGTAAATTGGTATTGGTGAGAAATTCCTTCGACTGAACAAATTTTAGTTTTAGGTCTCACTGAATTATTTGCCTTAATGGAAAAATGGGTCGGGTTATAAATTAGGATTTCAGCTTCAGCAAAGAACATTATAACCTAACCCAAGCTGTAATAGTTTTTTAGGGCTGCTGTAACAAAGCACCATGGATTAGGTGGCTTAAACAACAACAATTTATTGTCTCACAGTTCTGGAGGCTGGAAGTCTGAAATCAGAGTGTCCCAGTAGTAGGTTTCATTCCTTCTGAGGGCTGTGAGGGAGGGATCTGTCCTGGGGACTCTCCCTGTCTTACAGATAGCCATCATCTCCTCATGTCTCTTCTCATCATCATCTCTCTGTGTGTGTCAGTCGCTGTGTCCAAATGTCTCTTTTGCATAAGGATGTCGGTCAGATTGGAATACCCACCCTGTAACCTTACTGTAACTTGATTACCTTATTTAGGATCTTATCTCCATAAAAAGGTTACATTCTCAGATACTGCGGGTTAAGATTTCAACATAGGGAATTGAGGGAACGCAATTCAACCCATTATACAAGCAGATAAAATAACTAGTATTTTTTAAAAGAAAGCCTTAATACAACCACAAGACTTCAAATTCAGGCTCATCTTCGATGGTCTGTTTCTGAACTTCAATGCTACAAGAAAGAGCAGATTCTTAATTAGCCCATTTGTAACCAGTGCATCGCCAAGGTTTGTCACCTGTCCTAGTGTTTCAGTGCCAACTACATAGTTTTATTTGTTTGTATTCAGATCAGAACCAGCTGTGCTGGCACCAACTTCAGAAATTCGTAGCCTATGCTGCATATTCCCAACTGCAAATTCAAATGCCAAGATGTTACAGGTATATTGCAAGCAAAGATGGAATTATATTTCCTAAATGTTGAGGCCAAAATAAGGTTGGAAATGGAATAATTCAGATTTAATCAGTATACATCCCCGCAAGAGAATCTACACATTGAAAACATGAAACGTTATCATTTTTGAGCATCTGTATTTTTGATGTTAAATTTTGGTTAATGTTAATGAATTCAATGAAATTTTTTTACAGCTGAAAATCTAAAGAAAACTAGTTAGCCTGGGGCCTAGACTAGGTGCTCAATAAGTATTTGTTGCATACATGAAAGGCAAGGATAACGAGATATAGTCCTTTAGCTCAGGGAGCTTTCGGTCGCTGGAGAGATGGACACAGGGAGTTACAACATTGTCCCAAACACAGAGCCACCGGTCCTTTTTGCTCATGCTGGCTTTCATCTAGTAGCCCAGGCTCCTGAGGCTGTGGTCTCTTCTCAGCCTTCTACTCAGCTTTTCATTTGCAACTCTGCCATATAACCATTCAAATACAAATAATCACTATGTTTTGAGATGATTATTATCAGTCATGCTTCAGGAAGACTGATCTGGCAGCAATGTTAGGATAGATTAGAAAAAAGAAAATGACGGAAGCTGAAACACTCTGGGAATGTTAATACAATCATGTGAAATAACAATCAAACAGCTCCCACCCCGCAGAATGCCCCCGATAGAATGTCTGTGGTCCCTTCTGTGCCTCATGGCAGCCCTGGGAGGTTACTGTCTCCATCCTACAGGAGAGGAATTAGAAGTCCAGAGAAGTTAAGTAACTTTTCCTGTGTCACACAGCCAATGATAAGGGAGGTCAGATTTGTAACCTAACTCTGTCTACAAAGTCTGCTTTTGTTTTCTTGCCCTACTCTGCCGCTGACTAAGTATGAAGGGAAGAGGAGGTCTTACAAAATGCAGACTGTGAGAATAGAAAGCAAGGATTTCCTTTCAGGGTAATAACTGCTTAGGTGCAGGCGATGAATCTGAGGTCGGGAAGGAAGAGGAGGAAAGAGTCAAGCTGCACCAAAGAAGACTAAACTGGCCTTTGCACTAACACATTGGCCAAATGAAATATATATGTCCATGACCACATTGTCACAGCCCAAAGGTACTGCTTGGCTTGTTTGTAGAACAGGGCCAGAGTCACTTGCTCCTAAGCAGAGTGCCAATTCTCACAAGGGAACACCGCACCTGCCCTGGGCCCAGCAGCCTGGGGATGCCCTTTGTAGATAGAGGGACCTGAGCTCAGAGAAGGGAGACTGGAAACTCATCACAGGCCTGGGGAAACAGGACTGCGCTTCATACCATTAAGACGCTTTTTAATGGGCCTGGAGAAAATGGCAACATCCTACCTTTGATTTGTAGCCAAGTGACTTTAAGATAAAGGTTTATTTCATTTAGTTTATGATGAATTCGACTTTCTCTCCATCTGTCCTTAGGTTTGTGTCTGTTGTGCTCGTGTGAATTGTTCCCCTGAAACCAGAATGTCGTTTATCTTTGTATTAATTAGAATGCTTCTTCCTGTTTGATTCTATTTTTCTATTCTCTGATAAATAAATCCTTCATCACTTACAAATTGCTGTCTTTGCTTTTCATACAATACAAATTCCTTTTCCTCATTTTAAGTGGAAAGATTGCATCATATAGTATGAATGCACAAGATGATGTCATCATCCCAGCATCTCTATCCCAAATATTCATTTGATGTGCACTTTGGACATCACTTCTCCTGCTGCGAACAGTGTGTCCCTGCATTCTGGTATCATGGATCGGTTATAAGCAACACAGCTCCTTTACGTGCCATCAGAGCAGCTGAGAATCTAACATGGTTCCTCTAATGAAAGAGCTTTGTTGGGTTATGTTCAGAGGCTCCCTTGATGCTAACTGAACACTCTTCAGTGGTGCACATGAAAATGCATCCTGCCTCTTGCAGAACGACAGACCAGGTTAGGAATGTTTTGGCATTTGTTAGGAGGTGGGAGTGTGCAGTCTTCCAGTGGGAGCCCCCCAGGGAGGCGACAACATGGAAAGGACCTGGGGAGGCTGCAGAGGTGTGCATAAACCAGGCCTGAAAGCAAGTTTGCACAGTGATTAAGCATGGCAGCCTAGGGTCTGGATTTCAACCCTTGCCGGCGCTGAGAAAAATACGTCAGTCTACCTCTCTAACCTCCAATTTCCTCACTTCTCCAGTGGGCTAATCACATGATTCCTGTGGGGATTAAATAAATCAACACATGTAAAGCATTTAGAATGGTGCATGGCACACAGTAAGCCTTCAGAGGATATCAATCAGCCCAAGAATAGCACCTTTTCAAGTTTCTTCATGGTTCAAAAGGCCAATTGAACAGTATTTCTCTTTCTTTGGGCATTTCCTGGCTATAGGAGAGGAGTGTTATCTTTCCTTAAACTCTGATTTTCAGCCCAAAGAAATGATGACAAGACCATTCATGTACTGAGTTCATCCTTACCATGATCTTGCAAGATAGTACTGTTACCATCATGCCCACTTTACAGATGAGGATACTGAGGCAGAGAGAGCTGGGAGAGTTGCCAAAGGTGCCACAAAGGGCAGAGGCAGGATTCAACTGAGGCAGTGGCAACTCCAAAGTTGGTGCTCCCTACCACCATGCTTTTCTGCCCCTCCAGTAAGTGATGCCTGAGCCTCACTGAGCCTCGGGGCAGAGACTTCCATTCAGGACACACCTGCTGCCTTGCAGAGGGTCCAGGCCATGCACGCGGGATCTTCTGCACCACCCCTGGCTTCTAGAGAAAGTGGCCTCAAACCACTGCCAGCGTGGAACTGGCGGGGCCCCTCACGACTGTATTTACTGCCCGTGTTCATCAGCTGACGGCTGCGGGGCTTTGCAGCAGGCTGCTGTTTCCACCAGACGCACAGCTGCTGAGTCACTCTGCAGCTCTCTGCTTTGCTCTGTGGTTTGTAAACCGTTTCGGGTTTCTTTTTTTTTTTTTTTTTGGCCCATTTTTGCTCAGTCTGTACGCCTTTGCTACCCTGTTTCTCTCCCTTTCTTTTAACAGTATTAGGAGATTTCTTTCCTCTGTAAAATTAAAGGAGTGCCTTCTGTCTTCTTAAAAGCCACAGCCACTCCCTTTCATCCACAGGGTTCTCCGTAGGTGGGCAATGCTGCTTGCCACTGTTTTTTACCCCCAAATCTGTTTCATTTTGGTAATTACCCTAAGAAAAAACTAGTTGCTCCTTACTGACATTGCAAGGATGTTATTAAGATAGAGTAAAACAAAAATAGATCTGAAGGGTTTACTTTTCTTGGGTGATGCTACTCAGTGAAAGCTCTTGTCTTTCAAGAGCTTCTCTTTGTAAACCCTGGTTTGGCCCATGAGTGACCCGAGCCACTTTTAGGCTTTCCTTAACCCTAAGCATTCTTGTTTTGAAATCTCTATATTCTAAAATGCACCTCATCACACATTAAATGTTATTGTTTTGGAAGTAAAATAAGAATTTAAAAATTGCTCTTAAAATTTTATGACTGAGAATAACTCCTTTACCACTGACAATTTTTTAACAACCATTGTTCATTTTTGAGAATTCTTGCGGTGAGAACATTTGTTCTACACACTGCAAAATGCAGTGAATTTCGTTACAAATATTAAATTTAACAGTTAATGAGTTTGACATAATGTTACGTTTTCTACCATTTACTTAAACATTCATTGATTTTGCATTTCCAGGTTTCTTTCAAGGTTTGAAAGCTGATGAATTTTGCTTACAGATCTCTTCTTTCTATAGACCCTCCCTGGAAATGCTTACAGTCCTGAGCCCTGTGTCTTTATGGCTAATGGGTAAAATAGTCAAGTGAGAAATTAGCTCATCTATCCTTTGGGCATTGAGTTTGCTGCCACGAATTTAGGTCCCCTGCTTTCTAACTCTTCAGAAATAGGAGAGACGTGAGATCACTTTTGTTCACCGGTTCTGTCCTACACACATTTATAAAAGAAGTGGGTGAGGGAAAAATTGCTAAGAGGCAGTGCCAAGGTTTGAGTCGATTCCAAGTGTGATTTCGGCAGGTCTGTGGAGTTGCTTTC